GGCACAGTCAAATAGACAGATAAAACCCATATAAAATAATCCGTAGGGGTCTGTTTTGGGACCGGCTCTGTTCAATATCCTCATCAACGATTTAGATATTGGTATAGAAAGTAGGCTTATTAAGTTTGCAGATGATACCAAGCTGGGAGGGGTTGCGATTAATCTGGATAGCTACATTAAACTAAAGCATGATCAAAAGTGGCACAGTCAAATAGACAGATAAAACCCATATAAAATAATCCGTAGGGGTCTGTTTTGGGACCGGCTCTGTTCAATATCCTCATCAACGATTTAGATATTGGTATAGAAAGTAGGCTTATTAAGTTTGCAGATGATACCAAGCTGGGAGGGGTTGCGATTAATCTGGAGGATAGGGCCATAATTCAAAATGACCTGGACAAATTGGAGAAATGGTCTGAGGTAAAGAGGATGAAGTTTAATAAAGACAAATGCAAAGTGCTCCACTTAGGAAGGAATAATCAGTTTCATACATACAGAATGGGAAGTGACTGTCTGGGAAGGAGTACAGCAGAAAGGGATCTAGGGGTCATAGTGGACCACAAGCTGAATATGAGTCAGCAGTGTGATGCTGTTGCAAAGAAAGCAAACATGATTCTGGGATTCATTAACAGGTGTGTTGTGAGCAAGACACGAGAAGTCATTCTTCCGCTCTACTCTGTGCTGGTTAGGCCTCAGTTGGAGTATTGTGTTCAGTTCTGGGCACTGCATTTCAAGAAAGATGTGGAGAAATTGGAGAGGGTCTAGAGAAGAGCAGCAAGAATGATTAAAGGTCTAAAGAACATGACCTATGAGGGAAGGCTGAAGGAATTTGGTTTGTTTAGTTTAGAAAAGAGAAGATTGAGGGGGGACATGATAGCAGTTTTCAGGTATCTAAAAGGGTGTCATAAGGAGGAGGGAGAAAACTTGTTCATCTTGGCCTCTGGGGATAGAACAAGAAGCAATGGTCTTAAACTGCAGCAAGGGAGGTTTAGGTTGGACATTAGGAAAAAGTTCCTAACTGTCAGGGTGGTCAAACACTGGAATAAATTGCCCAGGGAGGTTGTGGAATCTCCATCTGTAGAGATATTTAAGAGTAGGTTAGATAAATGTCTATCAGGGATGATCTAGTCAGTATTTGGTCCTGCCATGAGGGCAGGGGACTAGACTCGATGACCTCTTGAGGTCCCTTCCAGTCCTAGTGTTCTATGATTCTATAATCTAGCCTGGGAGACGTGGAGAGTGGAGAAGTGGTGGGATTTTGAAAATTTAGAGAAATGGGAAATTAGTGGGAGTCTGAACCATGAGGTTTAAGACATAGCAGCAGAGTGCTAATAGCAAGAAAGATAGACTTTTATATTCATTCAATTATTGTTATTGTAGCCCTCTTAGTCCTAGGGTATTAGGGAGACTTGCTAGGTGATGTAATATCTTTTATTGGACCAACTTCTGTTGGTGAAAAAGATAAGCTTTCAAGCTTACACAAAGACCCGAGGAAGAATTCTGTGTAAGTTCTAAAGCTGGTCTCTCTCACCACAGAAGTTGGCCTAATAAAAGCTATTACCTCACCCACCTTGTCTTTCATTCAGTATTTTCAGAGCCAATAACAGTTCACTGGGGTAAAATTTGGGCTCCATTGAAGTCACTGGCAAAATTTCCATCCAGTGAGACTAGGATTTCATCTTAGAACCAGAGATGGGGGCTTTGGGAGAGGGGAAGAAGGAAGAGCATGTAGAGGAAAAGAAAGATGTATTTATGTTTCCTCTGCTCCTCTTGCAAAGGACCAAGTGTGAATTGTGCTAGTATCCAATCAGTTTTACTTTGCTTCTGCCCAGCAAGAGCAGCTGTTGGTGGGAGGGCTAGGCAGGCACCAAGAAGAGCAAAGAAGAGGTCAGAAGCAGCCTGAGGTGGGCTGCAGCAGCTGGTGCCCCAGGCGGAACGCGTGATTGGCACCCCTGCCTGCACGGCCGTCAATGGAGTGACATCATCATCAGGTGCCCTGGGTGCCCTGTGACGTCATCATCGGGCACCCCAGGTACCCCGTTGAAGGCGGCGCCCTAGGCGATGGCCGAGTCGGCCTATAGTCATGGGCTGTCCCTGGAAGAGGTGGCTACTTTTGTTTGGAAAGAAATCCAAGTCTTTAGGCCAACAGAAGGTGGTAGACCAATGGAGAGAATACGCATGCTGTCATGGTGACTAGGAGCTTTATAAATTGCCTCAATATAACCTATGTGCTAGCTTTGTGTGTACCACAAGTTCCTTCTGTGCACTGACATGTAAGGCTGGGAGTGCCTCATCAGTGAACCTGCTACACCTGAATTATATTTTTTTTAATGTTAAAACAACATTAAGTTAGCAAAGACAAGCATTCAAATGTTTGGAAGAATAGATAGAGTCTGCATCCCTGTATGGTGGAAGGTAAGAGTCTCATCAGTCTAGTGATGTAGACCTATGTTGGTGTGGCTGACTAAAGAAGCAATGGTTTAAGAAGAGAAACACACCCAACTCTCCTCTCAGGGAAGAAACAAAAAGAGAAGGAAAATGAGGATACTGGAAAACTACCTCCTAAAACACACAAGAGCAGAACTTCATTTTGTTCAATTTGAGAAATCTACAAGGGAAAAAGGGGGAGCATTTAAGAAACAAGGGACAGGTAAGGAATTGAAATCCATAAGGTACAGCTGATAGAAGAAAAAGTGTGGGGGTAAGGTTTCCCCTCAGATATTGGGGAAGTTTATGGGTAGAGAGCCAACAGCATATGGAAACATTTAATGAGGCTCAGGGTAAGGACCTCTCACACTCCCCACCTCCATTTTCCATTTTTAATTGAATGGCGGCTCAGTGGATAACAAGGCACCTATGTTGATAGCTACTTTTAGATTATCCTACTTGTCTATTTTCCTCTCTTTCTCTCTCCTCTCCCACAGATTTGCCTTTTCTTCTGGCCTTTTCTTCTATTTTCTGACAAGCTGATGACAGCTACATTTAAAATGGTACATGGTTCTCTAACACAGAAAGGCTTTACATGCCCAGAATAGGCTGCAATGTAAAACTGGCTAAGATCTCATGTTAAGTGGTTGTACATCTCAAGGCTGCTGACACCTGTTATACTGCAGCAATCCATGGATTTGAGAAAACCGGGGCAGAAGGCTCCAAATCAGTGAGTGTTTTAGAAGAAACGGTGTCTGAAGGGTAAAAAAAAAAAGATTTTTTTCCCCACTCCTCCCACTCCCCACCAAAGAAAAATTTTGTGCATGTATCTATTTTTAAAAAAGTAAATGAAACTGATGGGCCATAAGTTAAAACTCTGGAGCATTTTAAAAGTTGAAGAAATAAAATAGCAATTAACCAACATTCTTTCCTCTCCCACTTCAGCATGACAGCTGCTTTGGTTAAGTGACCACACTAGACACTCTTCTAGTTATTGCCTCTAAATGAAAGCTTAACTTCAAAGGCAGCAAAATCACAAACTGCTTCTTCACCAGAGATGACTCTGGACTCCTCAGTCACTGCAGAGGGGCTGATCTCTGCTATCAGGGATCTTCTTCAGGAAGGAATCAGGCGGCTTCAGTTCCAGAATTTTCCTCCACCACAAAGGGGAGCAGGGCTCAAGGTGCAGATTACACAACTGTACTAAAAGCCAAACTGTAGTCTCCTAGCCCAGCATCCATACAGCAGCCCTGAACTAGCAGGCAAAGTAGAGCTGACCATGTGGTGGCTGGTCTCACCTATGGAGCTGGAGGGCTAACTCAGGCTGGGGATCCCCAAAGTTTCCCAGCCTAACTCTACAAACTGGGAATCATCAGTGGAGAAGGAAAATCCCAGTGGAGGGATCTTTCTTTCAGGACCATAGAGACCAGTTCTCAGGAGGAACCCTGCGTGCAGGTCTGGGGCTTACCAAGTCCCCACACAGCCAGCCCTGCCCTTGCTCTGGCTGGCTCCAGCCTCACTCCAAAAAAAAATGCTTCTCCCCTTTCCTGAACTCCCTGGGAGGGTCATCTCACTCCCTATTGGATGCCAGGCAGACTCTTGAGTTTGCCTTGGTTCCCCCTCCCTACTAGGAACAGTGTGCCTCTCCCTGAGCTGCCAGCAGACAGAGCCCCAGGAATCTAGGTAATCTCCTTGGGGTTTACATTAATAAGAGAATTGAACCATCTGGAGAGTTTTTTTATGTGGCTCTCTATGACTGCTATTATTTTCCAAAATCTTTCTGCAGTCCTAAGAGTCATTAATACTAAGAAGAGACCCATGGTTCAGCAACCATATGCATGCTCCTATCCAGCATATCCTTGTTGTGCTATGACTTTGAAATTTCTACAGGGAATTTATGCAGGGGAGAGGTGTTATTTCACTTCTTTTCATAGAAGCTGACCACAGTGACCATGATTAAGATGTCACACTATTTATGGTGAAGGTGGCCATCAATCTAGATAATATATCAAATAGAGCTGTTAGAAAGCAGAAAACGCTTCAAAATTATTCATGAAAATTATGACTTGTTGAAAATCTTGATCACTGTATACCTTGGTCACAAAACAGCAAACATTTTCCACACAGAAATATGAAATTTGTCTGCAAAAAAATGTTAAATTTAAAAAAATTAAAGAAATTCATCCAACTCTAATATCAAAGATTTTCCTGTAGCATCTGTCATAGCTAAAGAGGAAATTTAGATATAAAGAGCTGGACCCTAATGGATTTTAAAAATGTTGCTCTTTACTTGTCCCAGGTTCCAGGAGTTATTCTTTGGGCTTATATGTGTTAGTGTTTTCTCATCTACTATTATAGCAGGAAAACTTTGATTAATAGTGAATCTTGCTTTGACTTATCTACTTTTATCTCATTCCAAACTAACATGCCTTGACTGAGATATTTTAAATAAATTATTTGTAGTAGCTGTCTTAATTGTTTACTTATTTTGGTTTGGGACCAGTTATTTTACAAGTATGTAAAACGTATTTTACATGAGACTATGTGACCTTGACAAACTGGATACAAAGTCCATGGTCTGGGAAATACTTCTGTGGGGCTGTGTCTAGCTGAACCCTGTGCTGGACAGGCTGACTCTGACCTGGATTAGGTTTTCTTCAAGTTTTGTCCTTTGCAGTAACAGGTGTGAACATTCTAGCAGTGTGGTGATCATGCATAATATTTCATAAAAAGCCTCTCAGGTGCATTTGTGTGACTAACCATTTATTATATGACTGGGCAGTTCTTAACAGTGGTAAACCACAGGAAATAAAATCAGTTCCTTACTGTGGTAAAAAGTAGGAGAGCTAAGCTCTCCCCAACTCCTTTTGGTACCCTGACTGGTAATAATGGCAATTGGAAGGTTGGAGTGTTTTACACTTCAAGACAGGAATAGCTGGCTGGTGCCCAAAGATATACTGAGCAAGTCAATCTGCCAGGAAGCCCAAAGTCTGTCTGCACATCCCATGCTGAGAATGAAACAACATCTTCCAGGAAGTGGATGATGGGAACAACTTGTACACTTAGGAAGAGCACATCAAAAACACAACCATCATTTGTGGGAGTTGTTTGAACATATATTAACTAGTGCTTACTGTGAAACTATCCAGTTCTAAGACACAATAAAGCAGAGACTTTAAAGAGGAGGAGTATTTACTTAGTAAAAGAAAATATGCTGTCTGGATTGCAAATTGCTTTACTGCAATACTCAGTTAGGGAACATATTTGTCTTACGATAATGCAAAATATAAAAAGCCTTAGTATCAGAGAAGTTTTGCAGTCAGATGTCATATGTATGGAAATCATAGTTATTTCTGGCCAAGCCGATTAATTTAAAGCAGACTGACAGCATCAAATAAGCTTGTCTTCTAGTCTATCTTGCCAGAATAAAAAATAAATTGAACTGCAGAACCATGTCAGTTCATAAACTGAGAGTGTTCATTTGGTGAAAGCAGCCACTTATATTTTTCTTGACCATTTATAATAGGCTTGGAGATTACAATTGCTACTGGGACCAGCTCTGCATTGTTGTCTTGTCTTTTATCTCATGAAGTAGATGAACTTCTCCTGGCACAGAATTTAATTGGGTTTTACTTGGATGGTATTTCTGTAATATTGAGTGATCAATCCGTCATATTCACTAAACTGAAAGAAAAATTCCCTTGACTGGTAGGATGGCACTGCTCAAATTCCAAGTTGAAGCCATCACTAGATGTCATATGAAACAATACAAAAATATACCACCTCCAGTTTTATAGCCAGATTGTCCAGGGAGTGGGGATGGTTAGCAAATCAGCCAAAAACCAAAAAAGGGCTTGCAAAGGCATCTGCTGAACTAAGGGTATGCGTTTAAAAAATAGAAGCAGCAGCAAAGAAGACATCTGGTGTGACATGGATTAGCTCCAGCTTCAAAATTGTAAATGCTACTTGGTATTCATATTCAGTTTTCTAGAGCCAAAGATGACAAGTCGGAAGACAAGCACCTCGTCAAGTTTATGGAAGAGCTATCTGCCAGGTCTTCTTAAATCTAAGCTTGATATTGGATTCTCTGGAGAACCGAAAGGTCTGTCTCGGGTTTTGCAGGCAAGAGACCTAATGCTGATAGCTATAAAGAAACTCAGCCAAGACAAATTGATGCATTTGAAGGGTGAAAGGAAAACATGGACGCTCATCAGCAACAAGCAGCTGCTAAGGAAGAACTACTGTGAATTGGACAGCACAAATGCCAAAAAACAAATTAAAGTATGAGAGTTGTTCAAGGCTCTAATTAAGGCTGTGACTATGGGGATGATAAGCCATAATATGACACCAAGCCTATGGCCAAATCATTTGCCATGATCCTTTAGAGAATTATACCTGCAAGACGAATGTGATTTCTTCTGTGATGAGTGATCTAAAAGATGACAAGACTCATCCCTTGAGAAACAAATTTAGAAAACTGGTACATGCCATCAATTGCATTCAGCAGAACAATGACTTTCTATATAATCAGTAGAACCAACCCACTCCTCAGCACATACTTCAAGCATGAAAAAAAGGCAGACTTCCAGAGGCCTGCATGACATTCTAGTCAGGAGGAAAAGTTTCTAAGACCTGTGGCAAATCCTATATGGCTACTCTACACCAACAGGAAAACTGGGGTATGAATCTAACACTAGCCTTCCAGTGTACTCTGCTGATGGGTGTTAACATTAGCATTAGAGCACTTTGCATTATTCTTCTTTGAAGCTTCAAAGTACAGTGTACTGTTTCTGTGCATCAGGAAGGTACACACAAGCAGGCAGACCATGGCAGGTAGTCTAGATTCACACTACAGCTTGCTGCAACCTAATTGTAAAGACAAAGCCTTAGCAATTGAAAACTAGATTTTTCTCCTTCACATTCTGATAATTAATGCTCACCTTGAATTAAGTTGAAAAACTAATATTATAGTCAAAACTGCATCCTTTAGCAATGGAGGCTTCTGAACCTAACTAAATGGGCCTCTAACTATTTTCCATGTTTTACATTGAAATTTGATCCTTCTGAATGAATTCCTGGCATTCTAGCCCTTATGTTAACAATCTGACAAATCAGCAACATCGTTATTGTAACAATTTGTGCATAAGCAGAGCTTTTTTATTTTTGTCAACTCAAAATAAATATAGATCAGAGCAGAATGCAAGCTGTGTACTGTATTTGCAATCACATAACCCATTCCTTTGTATTTTTCATGTCTCTTGAACAAAAATGCCCCACTTCATCTATTTTTAACTGTCTGAAAGTTCAAACAAAGCAAATTATACTGAGGAAAGCAGAGAATGATAAATGCCTACTCCTGGAACGCAGTGTACCCTTTCTCTTTTCCCTATCTTGCTCTATGTCAGAGACTTTGCATCATTGATAGAGAAAAAGACACCTTTTTAAAAGTGGATGTCAAATCATAGTGAAGAAAATAGAAAGGAGCATAGACTTTGTCAAATTAAATGTAAATTTAAATTAAATGTAAAACTATAATAAGAAAAGCCAAACTGGAGTTTGAAGAACAGCTAACCAAAAACTCAAAAAGTAATAGCAAAATGTTTTTTAAGTACATAAGAAACAGGAAGCTGGCTAAATAGGCAGTGGGGCTCTTGGACAATCGAGATGTTAAATGAGCACTCAGATAATAAAGTCATAGCAGAGAAGCTAAATTAATTATTTGGTTCGGTCTTCATGGCTGAGGATATTGGGGAGATTCCCAAACCTGAGCCATTCTTTTTAGGTGACAAATCTGAGGAATTGTCCCAAATTGAGGTGTCATTAGAGAAGGTTTTAGAACAAATTGATAAACTAAACAGTAACAAATCACTGGGACCAGATGGCATTCAACCAAGAGTTCTGAAAAGAACTCAAAAGGGAAATTGCAGAATTATTAACTGTGGATTTTAACCTATCCTTTAAATCAGCTTCTGTACCTAATGATTGTAAGATAGCTAACGTGATGCCAATATTTAAAAAGGGCTCTAGTGGTGATCCTTGCAATTACAGACCGGTAAGTCTAACGTTAGTACCAGGCAAATTAGTTGAAACTATAGTAAAGAATAAATTTGTCAGACATATAGATGAACATAATTTGTTGGGGGAAAGTCAACATGGTTTCTGTAAAGGAAAATCATGCCTTACTTATCTGCTAGAATTCTTTGAGGGAGTCAACGAACATGTGGACAAGCGGGATCCAGTAGATATAGTATACTTAGATTTCCAGAAAGCCTTTGACAAGGTCCCTCACCAAATACTCTTAAGTAAATAAATTGTTATGGGATAAGAGGGAAGGTCCTTTTGGTGATTGATAACTGGTTAAAAGACAGGAAACAAAGGGTAGAAATAAATGGTAAATTTTCTGAACAGAAAGAGGTAACTAGTGGGGTCCCCCACGGGTCTGTCCAGGACCAATCCTATTCAGTTTATTTATAAATGATCCAGAGAAAGAGGTAAACAGTGAGATGACAAAATTTGCAGATTATACCAAATCTGCTTAAAATAGCTATGACCAGAGCAGACTGTGAAGAGCTTCAAAAAGTTCTCACCAAACTAAGTGATTGGGGCAACAAAATGGCAAATGAAATTTAATGTTGATAATGTAAAGCAATGCACATTGGAAAAAATAATCCCAACTATACCTACAATATGATGGAGACTAATTTAGCTACAATTAGTCAAGAGAGAGATCTTAGGGCATTTAGTATTGGCCATTGTTAGCAGACCGGATACTGGGCTAGATGGACTTTTGCTCTGACCCAGAATGGCCATTCTTATGTTTATGTTTTTATTGTGTGCTACTGTTGTGCCAAGCATTAGGTGACAGAGTACCTCTGTGATACTGAATCTTTTTTCACAGACTTTGCTTATTTGACCAAAACCTTTTGACACTTTGTTGCAGGTGACCCATGTAGGAATTGTTTGTTATTAATTCAGCAACTTGTTATTTCTCTGTCAGGTGGCTGGACTAGTCAGGCCCTATGCAGTTTGAGGACCACAGTTACAGTGCTGTATAGGTCTACTCACGTTTAGTATTACCTCCTGCTAATCTGAACCCCAGAACAACATTGATGCTTATATCCCATATCTTGGCAACATTGGTCATCCATACAGCTTTTACACAGCCCTAGCACCCTCACTCTGTCTTCTCTGCAATTTTCATTTGTTCCCTGCACGGCTCCTTGTGCATCAGCTTTACTGCAAACCATGGGTGCTTTGGCCATTCTGCTTCCCATGATTTTCCATGGCTGACTTTCCCTGGGAGCCCCCACCCATTCTTCAGTTTCTTATGAATATCTGCATGCAAGCCAGTCTCCAAAAGATTGTCATTAATCTTTAGCATGTATGTATTATGATTATATTATCATAGTTTTCAGGAGCCCTAGTTATAGATCATTGTGCTAGACACTTTACAAATAAATTCTGTGTTTTATTCAATGGCTTGTAAATTGTTCTGTGATCATTTAGGGTGAAAGGTGCTACATATGGATGGGGGTATTTTTGCCATTGTTGGCACTCCAAGGTACCTTCTTCCCAACAGGGAGTAGCTGTGAAATTGGAAAAGATCCTATGCCACTTTTGAATTGAGTGTTCCAGCCAACAGGCTGTCCTTAAGAAATAGTCTTTAATGTCCAAAGCTTTTTGAGAATGCATAATGGTTGCTTTGTTTGACAATACGGGTATCACAACTCTTG